ACCACGGCAGTTTGATAACAGAATGTTGTTCTCTTGCAGGAACTCTACAACCTTGTCTGCTAAATTCTTTGCCCACTGAGAAAAGATGGGGATAAATTTGAGGAAACGTTCCACCGGCTCACTTCCACGAATGTACCGGACAGTAAAAGTCAGTTGATAAATATGCGAGATGTCCGGAGTGGACTTGACACTTATTGAATAATACTTTGACTCTTTGATTTCTTTGAGAATTGCATAAAATACCTGTTGTCCCATTATTTCTATAAATTCTTCACAAATATTTGCCGATAGATATGATGGGTTCTGCTTTCCAGCATTTCCATACAGTTTTAAATGTTCTTCCAAGAAAGGGTCAAACTCACTCAATAGTTCTAGAATGCCAAGAAAGTTTCCATTTTTTGAGGAGCCAATAGTTTGATTCTCCCCATGAAATGCCAAACCTCTGGAGGCAAGGAAGTGGATAACAAAAAACCACATGCTTTAACACTTTATGCCAGTACTCCTTTTGTGAATGATGCTGACTTAACAATGCAGAATCCACCCAATCACTTCTTTTGTGCCAAATCGAATATTCCAACAGGCATCTGCAATGTTCTTCTACATTTTCGTGCTATACAACGACATTGCTATGTTTCCAATAATTGAATCCTGATGTAGCGAAAGGAGATTCTTTCTTGGACAATAGACGACATGGAAAGCAACACAAACAACCTTTGTATGGTGAATATAGCAGCCATTCACATTTATAAACTTGCCATTCTGCAGTTCACGTTTGAATAATTTGTTTGTTAAATATATTGTCTGTGTTTTTTTCCTTCACCATACACACGGCGGGAGTTTGAAAAGTCGCAATAGTGATTTTAACATTTTGTCGGCCCATTGAGAATCCAGTGGTTTACTGTAGCAGTATCTTTCATGTTCCATAGTCCTGAATCTGTCAGAGCGTGATCATAATTCACATTCACATTCTCAGTTACCATTGCAGATTTGTGTATTTCTTCTAGTAGTTCAGTAGGAGAAGGAGCTCGTGTATCTGGAACTGGGGGATCAGATGAAGAAGTGCTTGCAGGAGTGGAAGTAAGTGTTGATGCTGTATCCAGATCAGGAGCAGTAGCTTTTGCAGCAGGGGTGAACAAAGCCGATAACTTTGGAAGTTTTCCTTTTTCCTCTGCTGTTCTTTTCCTCTTCTGCGCTCCACTAGCATATGTACGCTTCATTTCTGTTAAAAAAAGATGTAAAATTATAATCTAAAAAATTAGAAATGTACATCTTGAAAACGAAATGATTTTTTTGACAACCTAATCAATGTATATATATTTTATATAATTAATCATTCTATCGCCTCTAGTGTCTGGTTATTTTTTCATGTAAGTTTTTGGGTAGTAAGGTTGATTTGCATACTTGTTCATTTGACCCAGTTACTTTACAATGAACGGGGCTAATGTGATACGCAAATGACCCAGGTGAAGACAGTAATTTAAAAAACAAATGCCTAGTAACAGCACTGCATTTAGGTGTGGTCATGCATATTCACCTTTACCATGAATTCAAGGAAAGGTGTAGCCAGCAACTTTCTTTGGGGCTGCCAATTCTTTGAGGGTTTCTGGTTTGAGGAAAAATATAAGTGAGGAAACATTTATGTCGCCTTGGCTGCATCTCACATGTGTACAACAGACTGTGTCCATGGTGGAGTCCATGGGCAAAGCCCTGTTATGGCTCCAGGAAGTTCCTCAAATGTTATGAATTGAAAGCCAAAAACTTGCCAAAAATTGACCCATTATGTCCTAAGCTTTAACCTGGGCCTATACCAAATATTATATGATTTACAAATTAATTTTTTTAAATATTTGTGTACAGAAGTCCTAATTTTAAAGCTTGTAACTTAAGCTTCCTATAAATATCAATTTCATGCTATTTTGCATGATATTTGTATGCAAATTAGGTGATTTTTTGTGAGTGGTGGTTTTTTTTCATGAAAATTTGTTTTTTGGCTAGAATGAAATTCATTCTTCGGGCCTAACAGGATGTGGCATGAACATTTACTCACTTATTTAGTAGTTATGTGGTGTAAGTTGAGCATATTTTGAACATTTTTGATCAACAAAACCATAAATGACTCAGTGTGTAAACAAGTGGGTAAGCCTAAGCTCCATTTACTGTACAAACATATGTTAGACTAACGAGTCTAACGTTAGAATGCTTTGAACAGACTAGCATATCAGTTTTTTATTTTATTTTTGATTTAACTTCATAATCATTAATATTATTATAAGAAATTGTTTTTTTACTTGGCTGGACAGTACGGTACCCAAACAAGTAACAACTAAAATTTCAATGATATTTACCCTATCTTCTGGCTGATTTTGAACCATGCCATGGGATGAAATTTCGGGTTGCTGAAAAACTTTGGTATTTTTGCTAATAATTAGGCCATGGTGTAATAACACTGGCTGAGGTGGTGCTATTTGTTTATTATATATCAGCTACATACTCTGAGCTGTTTCAGAGTTCATTCAACTTTTAACAACTCTTGAACATTTGCATTAGGACTGCTTGTGTTGTATTACACGTATATAAAAATGCAAAAACACGTTTACAAAAATGCAAAAAAGTGCTGCACTGCTGCCGTGCCAGCCAGGTAAGGAGGCCTCGATTTCACATTAACGCCATTGCTATTTAATAATATGAACCTCCTTACTCGTAAAGGATGTATAATAATCACAGCTATGAATAAGCTGACTTGGCTCTATATTTTGTGCATGTGCAAGACAAAGCACAATGTATAATTCAGTTATCTACTTTGCCAGGGGAGCCAGGTTTGGCATTTTAAAGACAAATTGGCCTTTTAGAATACCCTGTTGGTGTTTAAAAATAAATTTATGCAGGTCAAACAATATTTGTCCTTTTTTTTTTGGCCTTTGCAAGTCTTGAAGAAAATGAATAAATTAAGAAAAATGTGATAATTAGAAAATTTATTTTTATAATGCCCTCTATTAGTGGCGTATTTTATGATGCAACTAAGAGTGGATTATTTTGTTCCTTTCAGGTTTAGAATCTAGTGATAAATTCAGTTTTATTCTTACATGTGGCAATAACCAATACCATTCACTTCCATGATCGCCTCTGTGTGCACTTGTTTTGCAATATAATTTAGTACTCTTTAGGATTTTATGTTAGAATCTTTTGGAAATAGTGGTGGCTGTACCATTAAGGTAAAGTAGGCATCTGCCTAGGGACCCCAATTTTGTTTAGGGGCCTCCACTTGGGACAAATTATTTTTAAATATCTACATCATTTAAATCTTCACAAAGGCCTGTTGACCAATACGTATTATTTGTGCATGAATTTTATATCAATGGATAAGAAATTTTTACGCTTATAAGCAGGTGCCACGTTTTCACAAATAAAAAATCAGCATAAGCTACAGGTACCATGAGGGCCCCAGCTAGTGCCTCATGTACATGCACATCAATCTGGCTTTGATTACAGGGACATCTTTCTTGCTTCTATTCATCCAGAGGGTGTCCTTAGGATGCTTTCAAAGGATGCTTCGACTTTTTCCCTTGCATTTGTCCTTCCACCTATTCATTGTGGGATTCTTGCCATGTATTTGAGTGGAAGAAAGATACCTTGTCGGAAGTTTTAATTTTCCTATACTGAAAATTTATTTCCGACAGATACTTCTGCTCATACTTCCCACCCTTCCTCTCCACTGTCAACTGGTGCTTAAATTTCTTCCTAAACTCAAAGTGATAGTCAGGTAGAATAGGATAGAGGGAGTAGTGTGGGTATGTGCTGCTTCTATTGGTGGAGGTTTGTCACATGATAGTTTACATACAAGAATCAGTTAAACCATGTGAACTGAGGGGTGCATGGGAGTGAAAGGCTGGTGGCATGAGAAAAAAATAAAGGGAGCACTGAATGAGAATAGCTATGATGTGAGTGGGAGTAAGTACCTGTCAGAAATACATCTTCAGTATAGGAATATTATAACTTATGCCTCATGTTTTTGAATAATAAGCAAAATAATTTTTTTGTAATTCTAGTCTTCTAAAAATACAGTAATGTTTGTATATCAACTGTACAAAAAATGTTAACTTTTATTGAACTGAGCAGATGATATAGGTTGCACTCTGATTTCTTAAATGTGTAACTAAATGTTCATAAATGTTCTTGGACCTTAATATGTACATCCAAGAGCCCATAAGGTACTCTTAAAGCATAGTAAGACTTTGCATTTCATATCTGTATGAGTAATTAGGTGTTGTATACAAAAGCATGTAATAAAAGAAACTTTTCCAAACATTCTTGAACAAAGGAAGTTTCTCTTTTGATGAAAAGTTTTAACAAGTTTAAATACATTTGTATGAATCTCTTGTAAGCTATGGCATTTGAAAAAAAGTATTTTGGTGTATGAATATCCTGGTCAAGAATGACATTTTTTGCTTTTATTTCTTTTATTTAATTCTTAAAAATATTACATGAACTAATGGCTTAACATAGTTGTTACTCTTTATGACTTCAAGAAAACTGTATTTCAGTATATACTTATTTCAACGATATAGAAAGTTACTTGTAAGTCAAGAAATTCTGATGAAGACATTTTTGTGTTACTGAGGCATGATATTTCTAGTTCTTGTACATTGACCACTTTTCCTAAGTACCATATTATGTGGGTAGTTAAATAAAATGATAATATTTTAAATAAAATAAAATGAAATGTGTCATCCTGTAAAATTTATTTGAACATCTATATTCCATATAATGTAATAAGCATAATGCTCAATTGTTTAATAATCAAACAGTGAATTTTGTTAGTATTGACGTTTTTGTACAGAAATTGTTATTGTAACAAAACGTGTGACCTCTATGTACAGTAAACCTATTTTTAGAATGTATATTTATAAGCTCACTGTAAAGGAAATGTAATATAGGCCATGATAATGCTTGTATTACTATTTTTAGTTTTTGAGGATTACTTTCTCTTTTTTTCCCCTTAGTGAAGACTCTGAAGATGTAGATCCAACTGCTCAGTTTACAGAGGTAAATATTTACAAAAATGACCTTATATAAAATACATTAAGCAGGTTTTAATACATACATTAAGCTAGTCATAATGTGAACAGGGTTTATAGAGACCAGTAATAATGAAAAATGTTAAGTTCTAAAGAAGACTTTTCTTTGACTTCCTTCTCAGGAAATTATCTGATACACTTGTGATGATTTTAAAATTTTTTGTATTTGTGTATCAGCCATTTCTTTCTTTTTTCTAGACATTGACTTCTTTTCTGTTGAAAGTTAATGAGAAACCATATTCTAAATATAAAACTGCTTTCTGAAAACAGACAGCTTTGTGTATACTATCCTTACTTTCAGATGTATTCCAGTTGTTTGTTTTATATACCAACATTTACCCCCTCTCATAATTTCTGAACTTGTGTGCAGTATTGTACTGTTTTAAACCATTTAAGCTATTGTTTTAGTTCATATAGTTCATTCATAACCAAACCTTAAAGATGTATAAAGGGGAATACTTAATGTGAAAGACTAAGTTAATGCCCAACAATAATGGTCATAATACTCAGTATTATCATATTTTATTCAGGGTTTTAAAGAAAAAAATACTAAATACAAGCATTTTCTGTCATTGTGCATAGTTTAAAAAATTTTAAATGTCCAATATACTATACTTGTTGAATGATGTTCTTTTTTACCTTTCATGTAAGTAACCTGATTTTCAGACAATCTACTACTAAAACTTATGGATTTTTCCTAACTCTACAATATTTTATGAAGAATCTTACTTTACATCTGTGAAAAATATTGCTGTGTATTTAAAAATTTTCTAAATACAGATCCATTTACTTGTTCATTTAGTTTTAGTGGTTATATAGATATAGCTTCCTTGTTATTTTTCTGCTTACAGTAGTGAGTACCAAATAATTGTGTACTTTCCATTCCTGATAGATCCCTACTATCTGCCGGAGTATGTTTGTATATATATGATGTTAGCTGCGGCAGTAAGTTCTTAATGCCTAGACTGTTTACATGTATGCAGTATTAGAGTTTCATTGAGAGAGATTGCTGAAAAAATGTTCTTCCTGGGAATACTGAGATTATACACATACATACTTTAAATATTTGTAGTCTGTCTGTCAATGATACAAAATGTTGAAAATTGATAAATATATAAATTGCTACATTCTACAAACAGTTTGTGTTTGCACATACATGTATGAGGCAGTTCATTTTTCTTTGTAATAGAACTTTACTAAATATTGTTTACAATATGAAATATTTATTGTTAGCAGTCATTTTTGAATGATATTGATATTTTGCTTAATCAGCATAGTTGTCTCACTAATTTCTTATTCAGTGCAGTTGTTGCAAAGCATACAAAAGGTAAACTGTAATGGATATAAAACTAGCTGATAAATTTTCACATATAATTAAGTCTTAAATATGCTTACTGAGTTTTCTTAATTCTTCCATTACTGGGAAAGTTGTGTGAAGATGTTTAAAATCATCTTGCAAGAAACAACATCTAAAATGCATTAAAAACTTAGCTATAACAAAGGCTTAGTGTGGACACTAATATTATTAATGAATTACATTAGATTTGATATATTTGTTTGGTAATCAGGTATTAGGGGAAGACTGTTTTTTGTTCTTTTGTTTAACAGTGCTGAAGTAAGTTTTTTAATAGTGCATTGATCTTTGAATTTTTGTTAAGAAGCAGTCAAACTTCCAAAAATGTCAAATATTTGAAAAATAGTTTTAAATTTCAATTAATTTTATTGAAGGTAGTGTTGTATAACAATATTTTGAAACAAAAATTAGCATGAGGGTCTTTTGAGATCTTTTAAAGGTATTGAAATCCAAGTTTAGGATACAAAACTGCCCCCAAACTTCTAATGAACAACTCTTATCAATAGTATTTTGTAATCAGATATAATTACTTTGTTAATAGTATATACTCTTAATTGTTCAACAAGTTTCATGATCATTATAATTTCAATAAAATTATTTTGATTCTGGCTCTATTTAATATTGCAAATGATATCAACTTTAGGATTCAAAGTGCATCAGCTCATATTTTGTTTTGATTTTACTGGTTTATCTCATTGTGCATGGGGCTGGTCCATTGGACCAACACTGTATTGGAGAAGGAATGTTGACTTTAATTCCAAAGTTACTGCCTGTATCTACACAAATATGGCAAGCTTTGAGTAAAATTTACAAGTTTGCTGTACAAAAAATGTCAGATGTGTTACAAAAATATTTGTACTCCAGATATGTCTAGATATCTCTGACAATTCTGATTACAAGGCAATGTTCATGTGAAGAATAAAAGTACATTTGTCTATCATAACAAATGTTGAATGGCAATGTGTAAAAGGTCATGTCCTACACCTGTGCAAATATGTTTAATATTTCTGTGAACTTTTCACTTATTCTTCTGCTGTTACTACATGCTTGTTCTTTGAGAATTCATTTCTAAGAGATCTTCTAGTATTACAAAAAATGAAAATGAATTTAACTGTACTATCTTAACCTTTAAATACTTTGTCTTATGTTTCTTATACACATGCATCACCTTACATTCAAATGTGAAATGTTAGAAAAAATGTAGTTTTAGTGAAGTTAATTCTGTTCTGCTAGTATTTTGAAGACCCATATGAAAAAGCAGTGCAGTAGATCAATAGTAGTAAAGTGAAACAGTATCCTATCCAAAATTGTTCTGTTGATTATATCAAGTATAAAACTGATTATTATTTGTTATTCATTTAAAAACAATGGATAAAAATCATATTCAAATATTAAAAACAAGAATAAGAGTGAAGACAAAATCATTAAATTAAAAACTTACATGATGTATAGAAAGAACAAAAGAGTAATTATTTAAGATTAAAGGAGAGGACTTAAAAAAATTGAGTATATACTAACTTTCTTAACCCATTATTAAATGTTATTTTTGCATTTGAAAGACATTTAGTATTATGTACAAAATTACAATGTAGTATGAAAACGATTTTTGTTATGATTTTCTGAGACAGTACCTCACTTCCGCACTCAGAATATCTTGATCCCTTACACTTTTGCTTATGATACTTGTATCTTGAGCTAATTTCCAATTAAAAATTGTGTGTGACAATAGCCCTCCACCAGTAGGAAGGTGACACAACACCTTCCTAAGCACTTGCACTTGATATAACTTCTTTCTTTTCCTTGGCATTGTCTAGGATGGGAATGTTTTTTAAAATATTATTCCAAAACATATCTCCGCTCACACTACAGCTATTACTCAACTGTTAGGATTTCCTTTCTTTGCCCATCTAAGCATTGGTCTGAATTTTTCTCACTTGATCTAGTCTTTTATTTCCCACTTAATTGCTTTTGGCAATATCTGTCACGTGACACTCTCCACCTACGTGAATGCACCTTTTAACCTGGTACTATATAGGCACCTTATTCAGATAATATTATCAATTTTTCTTGACAAATTGTTCATTGATGGATTTCTCTGTACTATGATCGATGGAGATACTTTGAGTGTTCTTTGTGTTACCTAGTTAATTTTCTGAAAAAAAAAAAAAATTTGGCAAGCTGATATACGGCATGAATTCTCAAATTATTATTTCTGGCATGGAGGCAAATCAGGTCTCTCCTATCCTACCTCTGATATTTAGCATGACTCAACAATGGGGGGGGGGGGGGGGGCGACTCTCAGATGAGACTGTCAGGGACCTTATTCATAGTGAGAGGGAAACATACATTTGGTTTGGTGGTGTTCCTCCAGGGAGCTCTGAGTCTGCATTTGAGAGCGATCCTGGACATTCTAGAGAGAATTTAGATTTGCTTTTTCCTGTGCCTTCCTTTGTTCTGTGGCTTTTCAGATGGTCTATTGAGTGTGTGAGGTTTTGGTTCTTTCCCCAGTTGCTTTGGAGCCTGCACTTTCCTTGATGGCTGAAAGGTCTGGAAACAAATACTTAGCTCTGCCTCCATCCACTGATATTGCAGTTCATGCAGAGAGTTTTATCGCTTGGTTAAGTGAAGAGACAGTTGTGCTTTGTCCACCATGGTTGTTAGAACTACGTGATTTAACCTACCACCGATAGGTGGACGTATATTCAGACTCTCAAAGAATTCACCTGCTTCTGGAAATTTGGGGTTCTAGAATGGAGTCTGAATTCTAAGATTCCTCTCATCCTATATACAGCACTAAGATATTTATCTACCCTCCAACCTTTGTTGGAAGACTCAGGATCACCATGTCCATTTGATGACGAGTTGGAACCATTGTTAGCATGCACATTAGTTTGATTGTCATATTTTGCACTCATCCCTGTTGTTGTTGGTGTCTCGACTTTCCTTGGTTTCTACAGGGGGTCATATTCAAGGGTCCCCCAACATCAGACCCTCAATACCCAGAATAGATTCTGTCCATATCCATGAGGTTCCTCTGCTCGGTGACTATTGTATGCCTTTGGGGTCTATGGGGCTCAGCTCCAAGAATTTCTTGATGTTTGGAAAACCTTAACCATGGATCCGTGGGCACTACAGGTCCTTTTGTATGGATTAGTAATTCAGTTCACATCTTCACCACCATTATCCACCTCCCACAGGTCCTTGAAATTCAGAAATTTGTTCTAGGGCTATCAGAGTTTTGTTGTTCTAGGGGGACAGTGGAGAGAGTTGTGCCAGTTTGTCTGGGTTTACTTTTCTATTTGTTTCTTGTGCCCAAGAAGACAGGAGATTGGCATCCAGTCATAGATCTTTCTCGTCTATATCAATTCCTAGATTCTTCAAGGTTCATGATGGAGTCATTCCTCACTGTACATAGGCATTTTTTACAAGGATTGTGAATGTCCAGATTTGATGTCACTGAGTCCTATCTGCATGTTTCCATAGTGGTGGCATCCTGCCCCAATCTGTGTGTTTTTACAAAAGGGTCAGGTGCTGCAGTTCAGCACTTTGCCCTTTGAACTAGCATCAGCACCATGTGTTCTGCCAAATCATACAAGTTTTTTCTTGTCACCTCC